TGGGTTAAGCTTTTCAGGAGTTTTGCCTTTATTTTGTCTTTTCCCGGTGCTGTGTTTTTGATATGTGATAGGGCTTCATCGTACTCTGTGTCTGTTATATTTTCTAATATATCTGTCTATAAAATCTAAGGTTGCACTCTTTGCGACTTTGCCAACGTTTTAACATTATCCCCAAGAGGATTACATTTTAAAACTTAATGGTTACTTGCAGATAAGTAATGTGGTAAATAATATACTTTCTGTAACGTTTTGGTTCCAACTAGGAACTGCTGGAGTTGTCCAGTTTAGAAAACAAAGTCATGCTTTCAGCGTGGCGAAATATTTTATAAAGAACAGTATTCCTCACCATTCCAAATCCGTCAAAAATAATATGATCTAGAAACTTTGCTCCTTACCTATCTTGACCCAAATTTTTTTCAGGATGAATTTTACGTCTGCACACCAATAAAAATAGTACCTGAGAAAAACTTCTATATTGGTAAGTTTTATTTTGTTTATAATGTCTTATACAAACTTACAGGATGTTAATTATAATTACTGATACTTAAAATTATTCAAAACATTACTTCTTGAAAAACATCATGTGAGTCTCCAAATGAATAAAAATACTTATTTAACATTGTAATCATACAAAATGAACGTTTCGAGAAAGTCTTTTCTCCTGTATACCTACAATATTGAAACTACATATTTCAGTTGGCTTTGAGCCCAATGCTACAATGAATGTGGCCCATCACATGTTATTATTTGGATGTTCATCTCTTGCATCATATGATGAATACTGGTAAGCTTGATATGTCTTATTTAATATATTTTACACTCGTAATGTTGTGTAGGGATTGTGGAGAAATGGCAGATTCGGAATCTGATGGAAAATTAAGAAAAGCTACTCCTTGTGCACAAGGCAGTCATGTTATTTATGCTTGGGCTCGGAACGCTAAACTATTAAAACTCCCTGAGGATGTAGGTTTCCTCATTGGTAAAGACACCCCGATAAAATATTTGGTACTACAGATTCATTATTCGAAGAAGTTTCCGGAAGGATTAACGGATAATTCTGGATTGTTCTTAGTTTACACTGAAAGACCGTAAGCGTTTTTGGGTTCGAGTTGTATTTTCATATTTAAAGTTTTTATACAATTTTTAAGGCAGAGCAAGTTGGCTGCGGTTTTGCTGCTGGCTGCCGGAGGACGAATTCCTCCAAAGGAAATCACAAAAATGGACGTTGAATGTAAAATTTACGAAGATAAAGTAATATATCCTTTCGCCTATAGAACTCACACCCATTCCCTCGGTAATCATAGCAAATCTTATTATTTTTTACTTTAATACGCAAACTCTGCATCAGGTCGAGTGGTATCAGGGTATCGAGTAACTAGGGAAAATGGTATCGACCATTGGCATTTATTGGGCAAAAGGGATCCAATGACACCGCAGATGTTTTATCCAGTCTTCGATGAAACTCCAATACTACCGGGAGATAAAATAGCTGCTAGATGCACTATGGACAGCACTTCGCGAGATCGTTTTACGGAAGTTGGGTGAGTTAAGTGAAATCATTTAAATACTTTTTTGGATTTCCATAGACTTACAGATGTCCGTTTTATTAGAACTTAATCGCTCATAGAAACGAGTCACGTATTTTGAATTCGATAATTTTACGTACATCATCGAATGTCTTCTCGTCAGGAAAGTCTCGTCATTTTTTTCACCATTTTGCTGAGTCTTTGTTGTAAAACATGTTAAATGTCTTGACTCTCCATTTTTTACAGACTTTTTTGATATTTGGCTAAGATAAGGAAGGCATTCTCAGGAAATTAGCTGTTTTCTCTTAGTTCCATCAAGTATTAGTTGCATTCGCAAAAGAGTTGTCGTTTCCCAATATACTCCTAATGCTCGATATTTTTTCGGAGGACTTACGCCAATGTGCAATCAATATGTCTTGCATAAAACTGTACTCTTATATATTTTTTCATCGATTAAGGCCTACGAACAATGATGAAATGTGCAACTTTTACCTAATGTATTATGTGGAGCGGGGCACTCCACTGGATATAGCCAGTTGTTACGACAAAGGACCTCCAAATTATTATTGGCGCAACAATGATGAACTGAATAACATTCCGGAGAAGGAAGCTTCGTCTCTTCTCTAAGAAAAGTCCAATTCAACAATTTCTCTCTATGACTTCTTTGAGATTTAAATAAATAAAAATTATATTTGTTTTAGGCGATAACAACATTCAGTATTAGGTACATATTATCATTTTATGGAAATTTAGAAAATTACTTTTGTTTTTTAAACTCTAAAAAATAGTTGTTTTTATTCAGAATAAAATTATTGGCATATATCGCTCTAGATCAGCGTTTTCTAAACTGTAAACTATGCGAAGGCTTGGTAATCATTGGTCTAGATAATAGATGATGATAACCTTGCAGAATTATTCGTATCTAAGCATTTGATGACAGGAAAATTTCCCCTCGAACTAAAGACGGCTGTTCTTTAAATTTAAATCTCGAATATAAAACGTTGACAATTTGTTTCATTAATGTAATACATCTTGTATTAGTGCACTATTAGTTGTGATTTTTTTACATTCCGTCTATTTTTGATATCCTTATTTTTGTATTACTTACATATATATTATATAATATATGTAGTACCTAAAGTTCAGGGACATCCTAACTTATCATATCAGTTTAGAAGTGTGGGTTAGTTATATTTTTCACTGTATACAAGTGAATGCTTCGGATAGTTGATTGTATTTAACTTTTAAATAGTTACTTTGTAGGCTAAGGAATTTCTTTGAACAACTATGTATATTTGAATGAGTTTCTCTCTGATTTAGTCACTCGATTATTAACGCAAATTTGTTTTATTTGCTACTTTAAGTATGCAATGTTTTACTTATTCGTTGTTTTGCTTATTTGCACTTGTTCTATGTTTGAATACTTGAGTAAAAATAGCGTAGTAGTAAAATAGCGAAAAATAAAAAATGTACAATCGTCATTAAAAGTGCAAACCTGAGAACCTCTTAATTAAAGTCTTCAATGGAAAATAGGTGCTGACCATTAAATGCGTAATAAAAATACTTTCGAGTTTTGGAGATTAAATGACGGTCTCGCGTTTTAAATGTTTCAGTGTTCCTTCAGAAAGTTAAAAAACAAGGTCTTTGCTTAACCAATAAAGTGATTATTTAACAAATGAAATGATTTATCAAACATATATCTGACTAAATATGTTCAAAAATACCTAGATGCGACCATTATAATGATATGAATTTCAGATTGTCTTAATAAGCTAGTGTCTTCTTTAGAAATTGTAAACTTGATGGCACTCTGATGTACTTATCAAACCACTTTACATCATATCCTAGTCAAATAACGTATAAAAAATTGGTGTAGATAGAAAATGATATCTAGTATATCATTAAATCTAATGTAAAATAAAGTATAAAGTGTACGTGTACCCTGACTCTTGTACATCAAAGCTGTGTTAGGTTTATCAATTCCATTATTATGTTATTATTGTAATCCTTTGCACCATGGGCAGCAGGCAATTTATCTAAATATGTTATGTTATAGTTGAGATATAAAATAATGGGATGCTCTGGTGTTTCCTGTTAAAAGAGCACTAGTATATTGTTATTCGACCTATTTTGGACTTGATGAGCGAAGTGTGAGCACAGTGGTGGGTCTATAAAGTTGCACTTGATATATTTTATGTAGTAAAAATTATTTTATTCTGTTATTATAACTAATAAATCGTTTAAAAGCAGTTGGTGTATCTCTAGAAATTTTGTTGTTAAAGTAAGAGAACAGACAAATATAGAGGGTAATTCCAATTATTCAAAGCTGGCCAAAAACCAAACTAACCCAGGAGGGATCCCTGAAATGGCTACATTTTCTGTTCTTTTGTGTTGAGAATTGCCTTGCATCTACTATATTCGATCAGAAATTTCCAGACTGCAGAGAGAAGCAAAAATCTCGAAATTAAGAAATGGTCGAAAACCTCGAATCAGTGCTTGTGTTCTTGTCGATTAGGTTTATGGAAATCATAAAAATTAAAGCAGCTTATATCTCGTAAGTTAATATTTTCTACAGTTAATTTCTCGCAATTAATATCTGAGCAGGCTTAAGCATATTATTTATCAATTGGGCTTGAACTAAACCTTCTGATTTTCTAAGAGATTGACTCGAAATTTTTATATACAGGGTTGCTCATTAGTGCGTCAAAGTGCGATATCTCAGTAAATATGAAGTTTACAAGAAAATTCGTCCAACGAAAGTTTTTCACGTTTAAAAGGTCCACATTCTAAAATTACTTTCCAATATACAGGGTGCATCATAAACGTGTGGTAGTTACCAACTCTGGTTTTTTAAATGAAACCCCCCCTTTTTTTTGTTATTTTCAGATTGGCCGTTCAATTTTAATTTATGTTTGTTTCAACCGTTTTATCTGAAAAATTTACGATTTCCGAGTTATTCGTAAAAATGTGAAAGTTTTGACAGCTACTGGGTTCCACAGAAATCGATGCTGTACACTACCCGCTG